ACTATTTATACTTCACATTTGCTTGAACAATAACAATGGGATAGGAGGGAAACAAAAGATTTAAACACACGAATAAGTGCATTCTTCCATGATTATATTCATTTTAATTTGCCAATTAAACCCCCCAAAAAAAAATCAAAATATATCGGAAGAACAAAACAAGAATACTTGGTCCATTTGCTCATAACAAATCAACATAAACTAGCACAAAACATCAAGCATGCTTTCTGATTATGAGATTGCCTGATTCCTCAAAATAGGTATTAGCACAATGTCTAGAGAATTTACAGAACCTTTTCAGTGTTCAAATACTTAAAAAATCCACTGACGAACGACAAGCACAAAAACTCACCCGGTCCATAATTGCTCCAATCATCGAAAAATAAAATGATTAACCCCTGTTACAACAAAATTCAAACCAAGTCGAGCACCCGGGTATGATCCGGACCGCCGGTTCTGACGCGGCGAAATGACATCCTGTCGTTATACAAGTAAAGCACCACGGCGGAGATTAGAATGCCGACGAGATCCGCGACAGCGTCCTTGAAGGAGGCTCCAGATGATTGAAAAAAACCCAGTTCGTCGGCGAACTCCTTGGCGACTCCGGCAGCGAAGGAGACTATGGATCCGAACAAAATGCTGCGGCGGCGGATGACTGCGTATCGGGCCTTGGACGCAAGAAGTGAGAAGACGATGGAAATGAAGAAGCAGAAAAGGAGGTGCTCTAGTTTGTCGATGGCCAGCCAGCCATCGTCGTTTTCCATTTTCGAATTGTGTATTTTCGAGCTTTGCGAGGATGGGTTTGGGAAGGAATTGAAGTAGTGATGTTGTTAATGAGATTTTATGTTGTATTAAAATAAAATTTAAAATAAAAATAATCAAAATTGATTTGATATTAAGAGATAAAAGATTGAGAGTGACATGTAGCTAAAAACTCGTAGCCACGAGCTAGTTTTATTAAGGTAAACGTCTAAATTTGGATGATTGGAAATAGTTTTATTAAGGTAAACATCTATATTAAGATGATTGGAAATGTAACGCATGTATTTGAATAAAACAAAATGTAACTTATATATTATTAAACACGTCATTGTACATAATATTATTTGTTTGGTCTTTTGGTACATCGTCTATGGTCACAAATTATTTTAGGATTCTTGATACGCTTAAATAAATCAATTAAATTATTTAGCAGGATATATTTGATATAATTTATATTGCTTTTATGAAGATTGCATAGTCAAATATAATGGAGATTGTAAAACGTTTTATTAATATCTATAGCTTTATTATTTTAAAATTATAAATTACTTAATTAAAGTAAGAAAAAAATTGTGTAAAGTGTATGCAATCAATTTCCAATTTGTATTCTAGAGGATTAAACAAAACCCTTTTTTAGGATATTCCTATCCGATTTTATTTTGAATTTCAAATTATAATTATCTGACTCTGTTTTATGTTTAAAAAATCTGAACCAAACAAAGTAGTAGCCAAATGATAAGGGATATTTAAATTTTAATTTTCAATTTGAAATTGAGCCCGATTTCTATGCAATTCGATTTGTTTAATAAACATGATATGTTGGAATTAGGTAAAGATACATGTTATAGTATTTTGCTAAATTTGAAATTCTTGATTTTATAGTAAACATATTATTTAATAAAAAATGAGAGAATCTTGACTTTTACAACATTGTCATGCCGAATTTTACCTAAATTAACCTTATTTATATGAAATTTTATTTTTTTTAAAAAAAAAAATTGATAAGTTGCAATTAGAAAAAGATATATGTGATAGTATTTTGTCTAATTCGAATATCTATATTTTATAGTAATTAGTTTTATTTTTTAATAAAAAATGAGAAAGAATTTTGACATTTGCAAAATTGTAAGCATCATTTGAAATTTGTCTAAATTAAATCCACAAAACCCATGAATTTAGATTGCATATATAGTTGATCGATTTTTTGGGAATTATGTAAAAAGAAAATTAAAAAACTGCCGAAAATAGAATGCAATGAATGTTGCTTGACTTTTTTTTGGTTACTATTTTTGGTAAATAGGTTCTTTCTTTATATAGATATAGATGTGAGTGAATGAATACTAAAGTGAATGTGGTGTGTAAGAATGATTAATTGATTTTTAATTATATTGAAAATATATATAGGTATAGATATATAATTATTAGCAGATCATTTAACAAAATATATTTAATAAAACTTCATAACTTTCCCACCAAAAACCATTACAATTCAATTATATTATATATATCTTTCTTTCTCTATATATACATAATTGTTGGCTAACATTAAATAAAACTTAATTAGTAATAGCTACATGACACTTTCCTGCCAAAAACCATTATGATATTGAAATTCAAAAATTGCAACTGAAAGAGAAAGAGGTCAAAGAGCAGAGAAACACGCATCAAGTGGTCAATAAACAATGAATAAGAAGATGGCTCAAGGGTGGACAAAAATCTACTCATGGATCGAGTCATTTAGACTCGACCAGAGTGGGGGAACTAGATGATATGGCATACTATTCCTCAAGGAGTAAACCAGTCAGTGAGCCGATCAAATACATTGGGTCAACCGCCTGGCCGAATAGAACACGAGTATGGTGGTCGTGGTCGAGCATCACGGGAACAAGAGCCTCTGGAGAGGAAATATAACTTAAAGGGGATTCCGACATTGGGAGAGCAGGTTGATCCCATACCCATGGAGGGTCTTGTCGAAGATCGACATGCGCCACAAATGGTTATCTGATGACCACTTACCCGACTCAGAACAGTCAGCAGGTTGACCTGGACTGTCGATCATGAGAATCGTCGAGGAGATTCAAAAGGAATC